ATGTATAAATGTTTGTGTACCTAATGTTTACATATACTTTAAGCTAACTGTATATTGTGTGTATGATTATTCTTTTTTTAAAAAAAGAATTATTCATTTTATTTATTAATTCATTTATTTTATTTCGACCAAAGCAAGAAAGAGAGAGAGAAAGTGAGAAATCAAGCTACCAGGTCTGGGATTCAAACCATGGTTGGCCATGAGGGAGTGTCCAGCGCCTTAACCACCACACCACCAGTTCATTCCCAAGTGTATGGTTATTCTTGTCAACCATGCATAATTGTATCTTCTAGGATTTAAAGGGTTAAATGTCCCCCAAGCACTTTTGGGATGGAAAAGGGTAAACTCAGTGTCTAGCTGGCACCTTAGGTATCTTATTAAGTGAACAGGCTCATCATTCAGGTGCTTCAGACATTTTTTTCTCCTCCTCCCCTTTTCTTCCTAAGTTGGTTCTTTCTGCATGGAAGATGGATGAGCTTGTATTTTCTATTCTTTTTTTTTTTTTGGAGAGGTTTTTGCTATAGGGCACATGCGCTCACCAGAAAGACAGAGAGAGACATAGAGACAGAAAGCGAGAAATCACCCCCCCAGGGGGATGGTCACTCCGCAATCCCTTCTCCTCCATTCTCCTCTCAGGATCTTGGGCACGCACACACACGTGCCCAGAGTGAGTTTTAAGCCACTGGGTCCGGGATGCGAACCGTGGTTGACTACGTGGGAGTCCAGCGACATAGCCATTACGCTAACTAGTAGTCCTGAGACCTTGCATTTTCTAAGTTCTTGCCTTCCGACATAAAGACTGTAATACCAGTTAACAGTTGGCACCAAAACTTAAGATAGACTACATGACAGATTGGGGAACCAGCAGTTGGCGTAATGGCTATGTCGCTGGACTCCCACGTAGTCAACCACGGTTCGCATCCCGGACCCAGTGGCTTAAAACTCACTCTGGGCACGTGTGTGTGCGTGCCCAAGATCCTGAGAGGAGAATGGAGGAGAAGGGATTGCGGAGTGACCATCCCCCTGGGGGGGTGATTTCTCGCTTTCTGTCTCTATGTCTCTCTCTGTCTGTCTGGCGTCTGGCAAGTGCACGCACCCTCCAAAAAAAAGAAAACAAAACATGACAGATTGCAGCAGGCAGATTTGACATCCAGATAAAACCACCACTCAAGGACCAACAGGTGGCTCATCCTAATTACCCAACCATAGACCCCCTTTCCTTAAGTCCCAGTAAGAGCTCCTTGCCCCCACCCTTCCGTGCCAATGGAATTCTCCACATCAGTCCCTTTCCGTTGGATAAACAATTTTCTATCAGCTTTTCTCTCTGAGTTTATGAATTATTTCACAGCCCATAACCAAGGTCACCCTAATAACAGCAGAGATCACCCTAACAAGATCCACACATTACCACTCTGCCGCCTTTTATTTAGTGTGGGAAATGTCTCAGAGCTGGAAGATCCTGAGTTTGTATGGCTTGCCTGAAAGGGAACCTTCTGAATAGAAAAAAAGAGGTGAACATGGAGAACCATTAGCCCCTTGAAATCAGTATAATTCCCACTGAAAACATTCGGTACTCTAACCTGCCAGGAAGTTTTAATGACCTTACAGACCTGCTTTCACATCGGTTAGCTCATTTCCAGGCCTGCTGTGACCTCACAAGAGACTGTAAATGCCTTTTTGGTCTGCACTGAAAAGAGAAGGCTTCTGCTCGGGTCTAAATCGAGGCGGGAAAGCAAGGGAAACAGATTCGTTCCACATCAAGAATCTTTGTGTCGCGCACCGCTCAGTTCCAAAGTGGGGAGAAATGCAAAAAAAAAAAAAAAAAATCCACAAAAAACTCATTCTGAAACGATTAACTTTATCCTGGGCCACAAGCGTCAGGACCAGTATGCCCAATATGTCAGCGTCTTCTGAGGGCTTGAGGTGCCCGGGCCCCACGGGACTCCGAGGTTGCGGTGCCAGCTGGCTGGAGCGCGCGGGCAGGTCCTGGCCAGGCAGCGGCTGCAGAGCCCGGTCACGCCCCGGCGGCCCTCGCCCGACCGGAGCCCGCGCATGCGCCCGGCCCGGGGGTGGGCGAGTCCGGGCTGCCATCTTGCAGCGCGCGGGAGCGCCGCCGCTCGCTCCAGAGTGCCCGAGCCGAAGCGTGTCCCGTCGGGCCGCCTTCCCTCTCCCTTGCCAGCTCTGCCAACCCCCCCGGCCCAACTCTAGGCCCATGGAGTAAGCCTTCGCCCGCGCCGGAGTCTCCGGGCCGCCCGGGGGCCCCTCG